TATGTTACTAATCAGAAGTTGCTAGTTTGTATTATTTAGGGCTATTTGTAACAGAGTCATAAGATAACTATTTTGTTATGAAATCAGGCCCAACTATGATAGATAAATTAAAATCTACATTAGGCAGAAATAATTATATAATCATACATAGTTTAGTGCTATTTAAAAGAAAATTTTATAAGAGCTATTTCTTTACTTTTATATTTTGCTATTGCTTAACTCTAAGAAGTTTAGCTTGGTTAACTTTATTTAACAGCTTAACAGTCAACTTCATATTAACGCTTATTGGAAATATATAAATATAGCATTCAGTAAATTTAAAGAAAGAAAGGCGTTAACAAACAAATGAATAACAAAAGTAAGAGATCAGATGCTTAATATAATACAAAGAACTAGCAGATTATAATAAACAAAAATATGAGTTCTCTTGGTGAAGAGTTAATTGAAAGATATGAAAGGTATACCTATACAAGAATCGCAAGAGGTCACACCAAACTCAAGTCTTAGAAAAAATTTGGACAGGTTGACAAATATAATATTAAGATTATATTGTTCAGCAGTGGGTCTACCTGAGACAGGAAACAAAAAAGACTTGGCAGAACATTTTGTTATAAAAATTACTAATAAGATTAAAAGTAAAGAAACAACGAACATGGACAATTCTTGGCAAAGTGATGAAGATTATTATGTAAACCAGTAGGTGGACAACTTAAGAAAAGATTTTCAGAGAAGAGAAATAGAAAAACAAGGTAGAGACTATTATAGAACATATAATTAGGCTAGAAGTATATATAACATACTAGAGAATATTTTATAGAACCATTCATGAGAGACTTATATGGAGGATAGAGGATATATTTTATTAGAAAAAAAATTAAAAAAATCATTACAAGCAATATTAGCAAAGGCTTTAAAGGAAATAAAAATTAGTTTACAATTATCAAAAAAACAGGAAAATAAAAATTGGACAGAAGTAAAAATAAACAAACCTAGAGATCAGTTCGAATACAAAGAATAGCATAAAGCAAAAAAACTTTTTGATAAAATATTGATAAGTAAATTATGGAATCAAGTGATGAAAGCCTAAGAGGTTGCTTATACTCAAGCTTATATATTATATATAGCAAATAAAAAGGGAAGGATGTTGCAGCAGTATTAAAAGAATCTTGTAATGAGAGTCCATTAGAGGCAATATTTAAGAAAAAGCTAATGGTTGCTAGACAGTATAAGAATAAGAAACAAAAGCTAGATTATATATCAACAACAACTATAGTACTCTCCTTTTCTATATTTGTAATACTAGTGATAAGAACTTTGTATAATTAACTGTCTCAAAGAATACTATTAGAGCAAATTAACACAATGCTTCTGTGTGTTAACTATAGGTAGGATCCAGAAAAAAGTCTGGTTAATTTTTAAATTTTTGAAGGCTATAAATATAGTATTTTATAATAGATATCTAGGCCAAAATTAGCATATTTAATTAGTATAATAAACTCACTTTTAGCAACCAGGTACCATCTGTTTCTCACATGTGCCTGCTACTAGTAACAAGTTTTCAAAGTTAACTAGTTTAGGTTTACAGGCTAGCCTATTGGGCCCAACATAGTTAACTTTGAAGACTTGTTACTGGTAGCAAATATATGTAAAAAACAAATAGTGCTAGTTGCTGAAAATGAATTTATCATACTAATTAAATATACTAATTTTGTTCTAGACATCTATTATGAAATACTATGTTTATAGACTTCAAAAATTCAGAAATTAACTAGGCTTTGTTTTTGGACTCTAACTATAGCTAGTGTACTATCAGATATTGCTGCAGCAGCTACAGTATATCTGGTCACAATATCAAGATCTAGCAACATATCAGAGTTTAACTATATACTACCTACTTATTAGCAAATAGATGATTATAGAAAGTCAAATAAAAAATCAGAAAAATCTACTAGTATAATATGTTTCATATGTGAAGAATATGATTACATAGCTACTAATTGCTCTAGAAAAAGACATTAAATTTATTTTAGCAGTCAGAATCAAATATTTCTAGTTGATAATACTTAGAAGATACAAAAAGAAAGGGAGGTATTAAATATTCAGGAGGAACTAAGAGTGACAAGAAGGATTCATACAACAAAAGCAGTAAAATATTAAAAAAGAGATAAAACCACCAGCCTTAGTAATACATTAGTTAGAAAATAAAGTACTGCTATATTCAAAAATGGTAAAATCATTAGCTTGAAAAGAAGATCTAATACAATTTAAAAAAGCTGGTTCATCTATACAATTCAGATGCAACTCAACAGATCTATCAAGGCAAAAAAAGACTAGGTTTCTTGCTAGAAGTTAGCTCAATTTTTCTAATCCCCAAAACAGAGTAGAAGTAATTCAGACTAGTCATAGATCTGTGCAGATTGAACAAAATACTATCAGAGAAAACAGTTTGTTTCAAAGTATTAGGCAGATTTTTAAAGACAATAAGACAAAAATAGTGGGTTATATTTTTTAACCTAAGAGATGGATATCATTACTTAAAAATAAACAACTAAGTATAATGATTTCTGGTTTTAGACATGAGAAGATCTAGTACTATTATATAGTTCTTCCTTTGGCCTTTTCCAAATAGTATAGATTTTTTTTAAAATAATGTATTCTCTAATCAGCTTGTAGTACTCAAAAGAAATTTTTTGTGACAACTGCCTGAACAATATTTGGTTGTCTACTCAGATCAAACATATTATGCGAGATTAGAAACACAATTATAGAGAAAAATCTAAAAGGGTGCAGTTAGGTTAGAGCTTTAAACAAAAGATAATAGGAGCCATCTCAGATAGTAAAATATTATAGTCTGATAATCGATACAAAGATGATTGAGGTGAGAATTCCAGAAAAAAAACTACAACTGGTCAAAAGTGAGTTAAATATATTAAAAAATCTGAAAGTAATATCAGAAAGAAAACTTGCATCAATAGTAGAAAATATATAGAGCTTTGCTTGAGCTTTGTTACCAACATAAGCAAAATGTTTAGAATTTTATAATCTAATAGATGCGAGAAATCGAGAGTTTTGGCAATAGCACAATTTGATATATTTAACGAATCAAGCAAAAGAGAATATAAGATAGCTAAGCAAGAATATATAGAAATAGAATATAAGACAGGCTTGGAAACTGTTATTAATCAAACTAATTTACATAAATGCATCGACAACAGGCTGGTATAGAATGTATCAAAGAAGAAAAGTTGGCCCAGAAATTTATATCCATAGAAATAGCACAACTTAAGAGCATGGCTATATTGAGAGCACTCCAGGTATTCAAAAGTCTAATAAGTCATTTATGAATAATACTTTTTGTCAACAACAAGATTGTAATCAAAACTATATCTTGAGGGGGAGAAAATATATAGCAAAAGCAGATTACTTGACTGTTAGAGAATTCTGTATAACAAAGAATATTTAGATTTACAAGATATACTGGATTCCAAGTGCAAAAAATTCTACAGATTACCCAACCTGCAATATAGATACAAACAATTGAAATCTAGATGATCAAATATTTATGAAAATAGAAGAGTAATGAGGGCAACTGTTAATAGACAGATTTGTAGACCATCTAATATTAACAGTCTGTATTTTTGCCTTGGTATAGAATCAGTTGATGCCTTTACTTAGAACTGGGAGACATAAGTGAATTATATTTGTTCACTTTTCTGTTTGATTCAATGAGTATAAGTATATAGTTTGGAGTGCAAAGCAAAAATAGTTATAATTGTACTGGTATGGAAAATAGTACTATGGTAGACCTTTTTATGTTAGGACAAATAGAACTATATAGAAATGAAAAATGTCAATTACTGGCAGTAAAGATTGATTGGTCTAAAACTTGATTAATTATATGATATTATTGCTAAAAATTTTATAGGTTCAGCATATAAATCTTGTTTGGATAATACTTTAGGGCTATAAAGTAAATTTTGCAAATAGATTGGAGTGACAATATGCCTATCAGAAGTATATTTAATTAAGGTATTTCTAAGCTTGCTAGAAATAATAAAACAGAGCTCTAAAATTTAACCTTGCTTGAATACCATATTAAAAGAGCACAAAAGAGCCAAAAAGGAAGATCTTACTAAAGATTTTACTATTAGGAAGATTGTTAGAGAGATTAAATTGCTATATGCACAAGATCGTGAAGCTACCTGGCCTAGAGATTCTTTTCTGTAGATACATTAAAGAGGTATTATAATATATTACCTGTAAAAAGCAAGCTGATATTGTTATGCTATGATCTAGCACTTGGCTTTATACAATAAGAAGGCTGGGTAAATTATATATTAAGATTAAAAAATATTAAATTTGAAAATAACTTATTATAGTTAAGGATTAGAAAATCAAAGAATAATCTATTTGCAAATAGAAAAATTGTTTCTATTAAGATGATGAAAAGTAGATTTTGTCTAGTACAATTGTTGTGAAAATATTTGAAGTAAGACCTATTACAGGTAAAGAGAATTTTCTATTTCTGTCAAATTTAAGAGACAGATATTAGTATTAGCAATTTTATTAATTGTGAAAAGAATGACAAGGATAGCGGGGCTGCAGAGGCAGTTTACATTACACAGTTTAAGGATCAGAGGAGTTTTACTGCAGCCATAAAAGAAGGTATGATTACTCAAATTAGAGCTATTGGTGGATAAGATTCTAAAACAGTATTATTATATTTGAGATCTATAGAACTACTCAGAACTGTACTTCTAAATTAATAAGATTTAATAATTAATTGAAAAATTATATATACCAATATTATATATATAGTTCTAGTACCTTAGTAAAAAAAAAAAAAAGAAAAATAGGAATAATAATATATATTAATTTTTTGTTATTTAATTCTTGCCATATTCTATATTTGTTAGTAGTAAGCAAATTGGTTTAACAATGACCCTCAAGACAAGATTACTCTGTTCAAGTAATAAAATAGTGCTGTTTGTAATAGAGTCACGAAATAGCTCTTTTGTCACAAGATCAGATCCAACTAGATATAAGTAAATTGAAATCTACATTAGGCAGGAGTAATTGCATAATCATACATAGTTTAGTACTATTTAAAAAGAAATTTGTAAGGGCTATTTCTTCACTTTTATACTTTGCTATTACTCAATACTGAGGAGTTTAGCTTAGTTAACTTTTTTACCCACCCACCTTTAACAAAAGAGGTGAAGTTTAGTAAAATTAACTATATAATATAGGATAAATTGAGTGTAGCTCAACCTAACAGGCTGAATATACAATAAAGTAATAGCTTGGTCTTACAGACTAAATATTGCTTAGAAATAGGCTAAAGAAGCTTGCAGTAGGGATGTTAACTGCAAATATAGGATAACAAATATGATCAATGGTTAACATCCTTACCAAGTTTAATTTTTACACAATATACTAATACAATAAGAAAATTTAGATTCTATTTCAGAATTATTTTAATATTAGAAAAGCTGTTAAGCACATGATAGCAAGATATGATCTTGTATTTGTTAATAGTAAGCAAATTGGTTTAACAATAACATTTAAGACAAGATTACTTTGTTCAAGTGACAAAATTAAATTTTATGCTCTATAAAATATTGTAATTCTATTTTATTACATATACATGTGAGTTAAAAGCTTAATAAATTATCTTTATTAAATATATTAAATAAATTTTATTGGCAAAGTTTTTTCTTTAAATAAAGATTCTTATAGTTTTTCTTTAATATATTGATTGTAACTAGATATGGGTTTTCTATTAAATAAACTATTTTTATTCCAACTTCATATGCACATATTGCTCTTTTGTATTAAGTTCAGATGTTTTATTGTGAATAGTCTATAATTTGACTTGACTATATAAGCTTTTTTGAATACATATGATATTTTATTAAAAAAAAATATAATTTGTATATAATAATATCATTGCTACCTGATATCAATAAATTTTATAATATTGATGAAAATATAGATATAAGTATAAGTGAAGATAAACTTGAAAATATTCTTGATCATATTTTAGATGCAATAGGTAGTGTGGGCCAAATATAGAAAGCTGTAGATAATGATAATTTTCTAAAAGAAGGGATATCAGAATAAAAAAGAACCAAAATATATCATTTTTCTATTAATGAATATGAGAATTGAATAAAGGATATTGAAAAGGCAGAACTTAAGTATATTTGTCATAATTGTTGATATCAAAAAAAAGAATTATTGTATAGAAAGATAGTACTGTCACTGCTACAGTACATATACAAGTATTGCTAGTAACATTGCAAACAAAAACCACAATTTAAACAGAAGAAATCTAAAAAACAGAGTTGTAAGAGTTACATTCTGACCATGCTCTTATAGGTTTAATAGTTGTTGTTTTAAAACATTATTATAAATACATTAATCATTATCCTAGCAGATTGTCAGATTTGTATATGCTTTCTCTTTCAGAGAATATCAGACACTTCATCTAGCAGCAAGCTCTTGAAAGCCTTGATGCCTTCAGTTATACAGCACCTTTTGTGGCTTCAGGCAGTTGAACTTTTTAACCAGAAGTAATTACTGAAGAATAATAAAAAAAATGTACAAAATGTTCAGGTTTTGTGAGACAAATTAGTGATGAGAGATATTAATGCTATTATATATAATGTTATAAAATTATGTATATATTTAGATAAAGATGAGTTGAAATTACTTGAAAAGTGGAGAGAAAAATTAATTAATATGGGAGGTTGTTGTTTGTTTGAATGTGGTGATATAAAATCAATACAAGAATAATTGATAAGGAATTTTTGTTTCCTTTCAAACAAAAAATCAAAGAGAATTGATGCAATTTTTGAGAGTTATTTGTTTAGATGCAACTTACAGAACCAACCATTATGGTTTTTATCTCTTTTCTCTTGTTATACAATATCCATCAGTCGAAAGTGGTTATCTTATCTTATTTTTAATTAGCAGATTTAAATGATCGTTAACATTAATAAAATGGTTAAATTTTTTAAAGTTTAAGCATAATAATTGGGATCTGGATATTTTCATGGTTGACGATGCTGGCGAAGAAATTAAAGTAACAGAAAATTGTTTTTCTAATTCCTCTGTACTACTATGTCACTTTCATGTATTATGATTCTGGAGACGATAGTTAAAATATAAAAATGAGAACAGACATTTGTACAAAATAACAATTTGGAATAACTTATGAAAATTGTTAAAGACTGAAAGATAGAATGATAAACAAGCATTGAAGCAAATTACCAAAACAATTAATAATTGGAGGTCAATGGGGTATTGATGAAGTAACCAATTTTGTAGATTATGGTAGGTACCACAATATGAAAAATAGATGATATGTATGAGGCAAGTTTCAAGAGATAGAATAGATACTAACAATCTTATAGAAGCTTTTTATCGCAAATTGAAATTTGTTTACATTAGGTAGCATCCAGAACGTCAACTCGATGCTGAGGTGTATCTTTTAGTAGAGCTAGTACTTTGTGTGATTTAGACTTTTCAGTCTCTTTGGATAAGCTAAATGTTGACAAAATGAATCTACTATGAAGACAACAACGGATTCGGAAATTGCTGGAACATTAAATATAAATAAAAATAATATTTATAAAGTAAAATCAGATGTCTGGATTGTATGCTTTACTACAAATGATGATGTGGAATATTTTATTAGAAAAAGGGATTCTGTAGTTAACAAAGATAATTTGGATATTTTATTATACATTTGCACATACTGTGATTTTCTAATTCGGTAACTACCATGTAAGCATGTGTTTACTGTAATAGCTCAGCTTCATAGTTATGATGATAACAAACAGCATATTTAGCTTGTCGAAGAATTTAATCGTTTGCATAATAATTGTTAATCTTACAAATCAAGAGAATAATAATCATACAAGTGGTGATAATATCGAATTTATAAAATTACAAGAAATGCTTGCAACGATTATTTTTGAATAGAAAGATAAAAGCGAACAAGATATTTGCTGTCTTTGACTATCTCTCCAACAAGCTGTTCATATAGAAAAGGCAAGGCTAGAGGCTGTACCACCAGTTATTAATGACTTGCCTAAGTTCTCTGCACCAAATATAGGTTTTCAAAAACAAAATAGGTTTTAAAATAGGCTTTTATATTTAAATTCGAAATGTGTTAATTATATATGTAAGAGCATAAAGTGCATAATTGTATTGAGAATAAGCTATTCATTTATCACCAAACTGTAAATCGAAAAAAATTGAGATAGTTTGCAGTTAAAGAGTATAATCTACTAAGTATCATAGCCAGAACTTTTTATAATTTTTTTATAGTAGTAGAATGCTGGTTTATTACAATGAAAAGTTTTTTTTTTACTAAAGTAAACATCTTTTGACTCTTGTAGAACATTTTATTACAATTCTAATAATAATAAAATCATTAAAATCTGTTATGTAAATCACAATATATTAAGATTTTTTTTACTATATAGTTTCTGCTTATTGTTAGAAATGTTTGGCATTCTATCACTATATGAAAGTTATAGTAAAATGCCTATTGTATTTTATACCCTTTAACTGTGGATCGTCCCTTAGTATTTATAAAAGAAAAAGCACAAATGCAGAATTTAACTTGTAAATGTGAGTTGACGATGATATGCATATATGATAAGTAATTTAAGTTTGGGTTAAATTGGTTCTATCGTTATGTATTTCAAATTGAATTTTAATTTTTTTTAGAAAGTATGAACATATTGCACAAGGTAAACTTTGTATATATTTGTTAGCAAAAATTGTATTTATTGCATTATCACTTATAACTAGTTGATTCTATAACTTTATTTTTTGTATTTTATCAGACGTACCGAACAATTTATTGTAGAAGCAATTAATTGCATTCGGTACCTTTGATTTTATTAAATCGGGTATAAGGTAGGAAGGATTATATAGATTAGAATTGATAAGTGATTCCAAACTTAAAATATTTGAACATCAATCAAATTTTATTCAAATGTTCAGTTTTCAAGATAAAAAAAGATAGCCATTAATTTCGCAAGTTGTAATTTTTGACAATTATTTTGAACATAGTTCATGATTGTTATATATTCTTCTTGAGAATAAACTCCATTTTTGGATTCTATCCTGTTAATATAAATATTCAAAGCATAGGTTCTTACGATACATAGACATCCTTCTTCAAATCTGCTTTACTTTGACTATCGTTTTTATACCTACAAATTTGGAATAGCTGCAAGCTTTTTCCATTTGTTACTTAGTAATGACCAACAAAATACTATTTAATATATATATAATTTACACATAATTCATTAATTTTACATTATCCCTTAAACCGTCCAGCAGCTAAATATACCTGCTAGAATATTTTTTTTTATATTTTTTTATAATTGCTTAAAAT